GGGGGGGGGGGGGGGGGGGGGGGGGGGGGGGGGGGGGGGGGGGGGGGGGGGGGGGGGGGGGGGGGGCATGGTGGTGCCGGCGGTATCAACCGGAATCATCGCGTTGGCGCAGAATTACAACACTCATGGATTATCTTGCTGCTACTACAGTAATGTATACTGCAGCTTTTGTTACGCATTGCCTCGCATCAACTGCTAGATACCGATGCGGTCGACGACTACCCACCTCTGTCGTTGTACTGCATCGTTCTATCGTTCCAGTTCGACCTCATCTGGGTGCTGGGGAAACAGCTGGATGATGAGGGAAAATACGTATTGCCGCTTTGGACACACCCATCCGTCGCAACGGTCTGACTTTTGAGAGTGTCAAAACTACTACCGAAGAATTAGCGTAACAAACGCTAGTGGCAAACAATATTCATCTGTCGTGAGAGAAATCGATCTCGTCCAGCACTCGCCGCTCTTTGAAGGGCGTATCTCGATGGAAAGTTGCAAACTGCCGTTGGAAAACCAGCATTGAACAAGTAAGTCAAGTTCCCACCCAAAAGAAAAAATGGCTTTTCGCACCATAGGACTAGTTTAGTCTAGGTGGTAAGACCTTTATATTGTATTGTCTTCACAATTAAAGTCAGCGCTCACAGCACTTGTGTCGTTTCAATGCAACCCGTGGTCACACAAAAGGATTCCTCCTTATCTATTTGGGTTCGGAGCAACTATTTTCATTCCACCTACCATTACCATCGAGCAACATTGTCTCTACGAGGCCTCCACTTGGTCGGCCGTGGGTGGCTTCCTCGATGCTGTCCTGGTGGGAGAACGTTTAGAGCCAGCATCGGTGTGAACCAGCGTAGCGCCGACACTGAACTTCGGCAAGAAGTCCCCCTGCCTTTCGTGATCCGAGCCAAGAGCATCCAGCCACCCGGCTTTCACGTTGGGAAAGGCGTCGCAGTAGCCGATGTACGGTTTGATGTCCAGCACCGGGGTACCTGTCCAGGAAGCGGGGGCTACAGGATGTCACAACCTCAAAAATATCTCACTCTCGCACTAAACAGAAACACAACAACAGTCACGACACCAACGTTGCACTCATCGGAGCGCAGCATTTGACAAAATCCAACGATCCTTTCTTGTGACGGTTTTCACCAGCGGTAACAAATGGACGTGCTGCTTTGTGAGCTGTTGAGTTGCAAGAGTCTAGCAAAATACCACCATCAACGGCTGAGAGCTATGTAGAGCTCACAAGTTGTGGTGCACGTCAGGATACGTACGCGCTTTATTATCTCATTGGTCCCATTATTTTTTCTTTGTTTATGCTTACCGTCGAGCAGATCCAGGCCGTGCACGTAGATCACACCGTTAGCGGCATCTACCCGCCCCACGCGCAGAGACGACAACGCAATCGCGTTCGGTCTGTGTGGGCTTCGCGTGGAGAAGAGGCCCTTTCTCTCCTCTGGTAACCGAGGGGGGCGGACCTTGGGGTTCCATCCTTTGTTCAGGTGCATGTGGGTTAGTACCCAGATCATGTCGAAACCGCTTAAATCTTGCAGGGCTTCCTCTGTCCGTGTAACGTCCCACATATATACGAGAGGACATGTGGGCAGTTGTTAAAAATGCTTGCCATGATTCCCAGACGGAAGCAGGATGTGCCTCCACGAAGCAAAAGACGTTAGGTCTACCTTTCGAAGATGACCATGTGCTAACAAATGACAAGGCGGTGCAGTGTGCAGGCGTGCAAACCACCCAACCGACCGCTAGCAGCTATTTAATCTTGCAGGGGTAATTACAAATAGACTAGGAACGTTAAGACTTTCTTCGATCGCCAGGCTGCTCACCATAACCGCGTCCTCGGAGAAACACGATCTGCCCTTCCTGAGCGCCCCCATGTAGCACAGAGGCGGTCACCTGCGGTTGGCGCGGAGTCCCAAACCTCTCCCGGTAGGGACTCCTAACCACCGCCACGGGGCAGTATGATATTTCCATCTTTCCGACGTCTTCCACGAAATTTTCAGTGTAGGTGGCGCGTTCCTTACGCTGCGAACAAAGCACCGCAAACAAGAGCATCGAGAGAGCAAGCTCGCGCTCTTCCCCAATGAACTCATCACCGAGAGCCGCGCGCGCGTTCGCCGCAAAGGATGGAGCTGGTCGCATGCTTTGGATGTTCTCCAGAGCTTCGCCATCGTCCGATCTCTGAGCCTCTTCCACTACCGCTCTTGCCTGTTCGAGAGCTGAAAGGGGGTTCAGGTCTGCGCCCAGCCAGTTTTCACATGCTTCCTCCACTACCGCCGCTGTGCTCTTCTGCGGCCTTTTCGCAGCCGCAGCCCTCAGTGCATCCACAGCTTGCTTCGCCGTTGCCCTGACGTTGCTCTTCCCCAGCTCAAGCTCAACTACGGATTCAGGGTATGACCCCGCGCGGAAAGCGACGAACACCTTCGCCTGGCCGACGGCAGCAATGGCAAGCACCATTCGAGACCGAGAACCGCGGGCGGAACACTCAAAGTCAGTGTACCTTGTGCCCGTAGATCCAGAGCCTTCCTCGCCACCGGGGCTCTTCGCCAGGCGAGGAAGCACAAGCACGGCATCCGACCGAAGGAGGGCAGGAGCAACATGGCGCAGCTGCGTTGATCGTACGTGTCCGGTAGAAGAAGAGCTGCCCACGACGCAAGACCTACCCACGTAGACAAACGAGAGGTCCGGGTTGCGCTGAAGATACGCGCGCGTGGTCTCGAAGTCCTGCACCGCCCAGCCCGTTCCTTCCCCGCCTCCAGCGCTTGCCCACGAGCAGCTAACGTAGAGCACACGCAGCTGCTCGACTCCGGCAGTAGCCGCCCTCGCCTGACCTAGAGAGACAAGTTGGTCGCGGCATTCGGCGTAAGGCACAAACCGCCCGGCGACGATGAAACATTCCCGTGGGAGGAGAAGAAGCGACTCGTAGTCTCCCTCGCCGATACTCTTGATGTAGGATCGGGCAACCCTCGTCCAGGCGTCGAGTGCGAGGCACCGAGGCGCCAGTTTTTTCTTGCGGCTACGGGTCCTCCGCGACGACATTACTTGGTTGCTTCGTTTCTCTTCCTCCGATGGCGGCGACGCGAGGCCGGCCGCTCTGGCCCTAGAGTTGTCCTCGCTCTTCTTTATCCGTGCTCGACGCTTGGCCCCCCTGACGCTGCATGGGTGTTGTTGGGTTTCCTTCTTACCCCCACCACCTTCGAACCTCCCAACCGCATATCCAACCACCAAGGCCGAAGAGAGTGCTAATATGTTGGCAGCAACGACGGCAACGGTGGGACCCATTGTCCGTCGCCAACGAAGATATACGTCCTGCGGTGCGGCGGTCGCCGTCCGCAGGATCCACTTACAGCTGCGCAGCCGTCAGCGTAGAGTGTTGAGCTTCAGGTTATCAGCATACACACGCTGATGCATACGCTGGGAGCACCAAAGGTAGAGCCGTTGCGCAGAAGAAAAAAGCATTCGAGGTCTCGAGTGCCCAACACAGCAGTTGTGTCGTTGTGGCCAAGCCTCGACAGCTTCATGGCTGCGAGGCTCAGGCAAACCCGCCGCAATGTAGCCGCGGTGCCCCCACACCTCCGGGTTTTTGTGCGTGGAGACCCGCAGAGCGGGCAGACACACAGACCAGAGGAGCGAGCATAGGAGGGTATCGGCATCATCCTGTAATGTCGGGCGAGAGGGCAAAACTGGTTGGTCTCGGGCTTGTTCTTGCGGTCATCGCCCGTTCATACATCAAAAGTGATGTTTTCACGCATGGCGTCATGATGAGGTGAACCTTTCCGCGGGACTGTGGGACTGTTGTTGTTTTTGCTCCGCCACCAGGAGCACACCACACACCACGCCGTCAGACACCTGTGCGGTTTTGCGCATGGTGTGTTCTGTGATCGATGCTGCCCGAACGTCTAGTGCCAGAGGTGGGAGTCCTTGTTCGTAGCTCGTACTCCACGAATCACGACTCTTTGAAGTTCGTTTTTGATGCAAATTGCAGTTCGCGTTTCCGCTGCTGTAGTTGCGCCGCATCTCCCACGTCTGTTTTGCGCCAACTAGGCCTGTCCTCCATCGGCCGTTTTGCTTGTATGACGGAGAATAAGAAGGTGGAATTACTTGAAATTGGTATAGAAATAAAGTTTGTGTATCTAAATCGAAAAAAAAACGGCCGATGGAGGACAGGCCTAGCGCCAACCCGCACGCAGCACGCATGCTCCGCCGGTATTGTTGCTTACCTCCCGTCCCTTGCAAACCTCCTGACAAGGAATGAATGCCACAAGCAATATTCAATAATTACGGCGTTGCGGAACGAGACGTGACAACACCGACACATGCATGCCGTGACTCCACTAGACGGAAGAGTGCAAGCTGTAGACACCACAGAAGTCTTGAGAAGGTCATATTCCACGTCATTTAGACTACATAGACATATGGAAGCCCGCAAGGATCCCACGGCGGTGTGGAGAACTTCAAAGTTCCAAAAGGGATTTTCGAGTTTTATCATCATCATGCGCCCAATATTAGTGTTGTACCGGCTTGCTGTGAGGTAACGGGAACGGAAAACATCCGACTATTGTACTGCACTTTATACCGCTGTGGATAACGTTAGCGCTGAAATTGAGGTGTTTCGTTGTTTGGGAAACAACCCCCCATGTACTACTGTACGCACATAAGGACATTTTGGCGTCAAACCTCATAAGAGTAGTTCAGGAAACCTTTTTGTGCATCCAGAAGTCCTTCAAGGTACAAAATGGAATAGATGGAAAGCTCGAAAAACTCGTGCCTACCACCTCTCTCGTTCATCGACTTGCTCGTGCCCTACAGTCCTGTCGTCGCTGCCAGCGTTTTCTCGCTACATTTCCACTCGTTGAACCGTAACCACGTGCGTTGGTAACAATATTTCATACTCAATACTTCGAGGGGCTCACATGGTCGATGACATGGCCGATGCAAAAGCAAGCCAACGGCGATCTTTGAGCAGATTCCGTCCCACGCCCTGCTCAATTATTTAGACCGCTTTTGGCTTTTGTCTGCGTGGGCCATGTGAGCCTTTAAGCACTACTGCTGTAGCGGGGAACCCCAATGCTGTTGCCGTCCCGTCATCCGGCCCCTGCTTAACATTAGGCCCCACTTGCCCACCGACCCCTTTTCCAATTTTTTTTTGTTCCAGTTCTACTGCCCGGTTTTTCGAAGACAACTTGTGTGAGGGACGGCAGCCGGCAGACCGGGATGACTGCAAAGCCACGCTGGCGACGGTGCTTGCTCCTGCGAAGCTCTCTTGCATGTCTGCTTTTCACGACTTCGTCCTTTGCCAACACCCCGCCGAGGGTGGTGGTGATGGAAACAAGCGGCGCTGCCAGAAGGAGCAGCAGAAACGCTTCGAGTGCTTGCAGGTGTGCGCGCGCCTGTTCGGGACGGTGCTTGGTTTGATCCCTATGCGACGAGCGGCTGTGTTGCAGATAATGTGCCGGTTATCTTATGCAGGCCAAGAAGGACGCACACACATACACCTCTCTGAGCAACGTATCTGTTTCTCCTTTTTTGGGTTACGACCTCCAAAAGGCCCATCGCTCGCCTTTGCCACAGATGCGCAAAACCGACAACTCTCCTGCTCCCTGGCCCCACTTGTGGCAGGCACACTTGAGACCCCACGGTTTCAGTGACGAGGAGATCATTCGGCTCCTCTACAAGACTCAGCAGCAGCCACCCCCGCAATCAAAACCGTCCGTGGAGGTTTCAGACCACGTCAGGGAAGGAGACGAGAAGGCAAAGGTCAATGAGAAGCCGGGCGAGGGTGAAAACGCGGGGGGCAAGGGTGTGAACCGTGGAGACGAGACTGTTGTAGAAAAAGGAGGGCCAAAGGTGGAGGAAGAACATGAGCCGAAACAAGGCGGGGGCGGCGCGCGATAGCGCGTGTAGAGCGCAGCTGTGGAGACTTCCCCGAGTTAACGTGTGTGTATAGAGTCCCGCGTAAGCAGTATATCGATGTGTCGTGTCCGTGTTGCGTATGCATGTCGCATAATCGACCACCTTCTCACACATTTTGAAAGGTTTGTTGTATCGGGATGACAACCTCGCAAACACTTGCACAAGGGATGTGTCTATTCAAAGCAGTGCTTCCGTCTGACGCATGGCATACAGACGACTTACACGGCGTCTTTGTGTTTCGCGAATCTTCGTGTATCGCGCTGACTGTCACTACACGAAAAGAAATGATCAACCTTAGACTAAAAGTTTCGGCGTTGTGAAAGTAACGTGGGGACATGCCTCAACATTGCGCTGCTGTTTCAAAGAGACTCTAATACTTGCCTTATAGGCTTCGATGGCTGGTATATTGTATTATAGCGCGAACGACCCAGCTGACCTCTATGGAATCAACCAAACAAGTGCAAGGCTGTTCTGTTGCCGCGTTGTAGTGCAACCGTCGCTGGGGCGTGAGCATCAACTCACGTAGCTTTGCAGTGACTGATGCGCAAGAATAAGGTACGTTCATCCCTATTCACCCAAGTCATCCACACCAAACGTTTCGTCAAAAATCACATGTCGAAGTTGAAATATTGTCACTCACGACCCCAACAACAGCCAGTAGTATTCAACGTCCATTGATGGCCGCTATCGCCGACCAAGTCCAGAGGGCGCGTTCAATTCTTCATGGTGTAGTATACCGCTGCTATCGCCCCGATGACTAGCACGAGCCCGATCCCGTACATGATGCATCTCTGTTGGACCTCTCGTCGGTTCATGTTGTGAACCAGTCGGCGCGCGCTTGTAGTCATGCCTGACACATCTCGCACCTGAACAGCGAGCGGCAGGCAATGTACCCAAGCAATGCACAATTTTCGTCATTGTGCTGGACCATGATATTCGGGCCGTAGATTTTGGTCTCCCATGTCTTTGTCAATTTTAGCGGTCAGGGCCGATTTCCATGCAGGCAAGACAAGTTTTTTTCACAGGCGGCAAGGCATGTGCAATGCAATCGTTCCATTACCCAATGTCAGCTGCCGCTGCTGTACACGCTTCGAGAGGAGAAAAGGAAATCATGTCGAGCCGTACCAAGAGAAAGAGAGAGGGTTGTCGTAGCGGCATCAGCGGGGTGTCAAGAAGGGTAACGGATAGCCGGGTAATTGGGCACTGCTGTACACGCTTCGAGAGGAGAAAAGGAAATCATGTCGAGCCGTACCAAGAGAAAGAGAGAGGGGTGTCGTAGCGGCATCAGCGGGGTGTCAAGAAGGGTAACGGATAGCCGGGTAATTGGGCATCAGCACCTAGTTTTGCCCCCCTAGGGTGGGGGGAGTTGGCTCCATCCAACCTCACGGTAATGTCCTTAGAGGGCATAAAGCCACGACAACCAACACTCCAACACAGATATACGTGACGATCTGCCCACCTTTTCGGGCAAGGCTTTGTAGCAGGACGGCGTGACTATCAAACTCCAACAAACGTCACACGCACCCCCAAGATTTCTTCAGGGGCCGATGCCATGGACTGCACATTCAGCAAAAGCGAGCCAATCAGGCGCCGTCATTGCTCAGCTCACTTAAGCTCGGCTGGCAACAGCGAGGCAAGTCGAAACAAAGCACATGTTGTTCGCCCTCGGTCGGAAGGGAGGCTGTGCAACAACAACCTAACTCAGGGACGTACTCTCGAAAGCTAACCACTGTTACATGGGGCTCAATACCTAAAATTGTGGCGCTGTGTCGAACACATGTACTTAAGTTTACTTACCAGAGCCAACCAGAATGCACAGAACAAAACACCCCATGACATCTATTGAGGGGTGTGTTAAAACAGCAAATAAAACACATTTGCGATAAACGACCGTACTTGAAGAGGGTAAAACCTTCAAGCTTGGTTTTCCGCCTACATAAAACCACAACGCTTTTTCCTTGGACAAAACAAAATAGGGTATCACTCTCAAGTCCTCCAAGCAAAGGCTAGTGCGTATTGCTTGCACAGGCTGCGCGGAAAGCGCGCGAGAAGCTGACACAAAAACATAGGCAGGTAGAAGAATGCTGCGCAGGCGCAATCTGTGAAACGTAAAAAAAAAAGAAGAATTTTATACGTATCAACTCTTTCGGGAAACGTTCGCAGATCTACAGCAACCCCCAAAAGAGTGAGATTCGAAAAATCTACGGAAACATCACACTGCACATCGACCTTCTCGGCGGAACAAGCCGTAAGGGAGGTCGCACCACCAAGATATTTACAACCGGCGCAAAGGGCGACGCCAACAAATCCCAGCAGATAATGATTCGCACCCGAATACAGGTCGGTTCAGCGGCGCGGCGCGGCGCGGCGCGGCGCGGCGCGGTTCGGCACGACGGTTCGTGAACGTTTACAGATTGCGGAACCAGCCGTTCATCTTGTCGAGGATGCCCTTGCCCTCGTCTAGGTTTGATTTCGTCTCCCGCACCTACCGTATGTCGGGGACGGGCGCGCGCGAGCAACAACAACAACGGCACGCACAGCAACGACACACGCATAGCATCCCATGTGAGACAGAGAGGGAAATACGCCGCTAATTCGTCGACCAAGGATCCCTCGCACAAGCATGGAGTAAACACTGTTTACCAAAGGACAACCACGGAACACATTGCAATGCCACAAGTCATGCCCGTAAACAAACACTTTCGCTTGGCAGCAACTCGCCTGAGGCTAGATCATGCTCAAGTGGGTCCATTCGCACGACTGACCAAAGCAATTGCGGGGCTCCCGTTAAGCCACGTTCACATCACAATTAAACACCATGTCCGAGCCAAAGCCTGCACATACCCTTGGACTACAACGTGGGATATGTAACATCCTCGATGGAAGCCAAACCCGAAACACAGGACAGAGAACTGCCAAAACGCTCGCGCGCTTCACATATCGAACAGCACGGTACTGCAGCAGGGTGCGGTGTGGACCTGCTTGCGCGAACCCCCTGCTTGGTACCAGCGAGCAAGCACCTTGTGCAACACGCACCCGGGGCGGGGCTTCGTGTCTCGGGGGCACCGGCGAATGACGTATGTGGGCCATGCACAACAGCCAACAGCTTTGTGCGGGCTTGACATAGAGAGGTGAAAGTAAACGATCCTTTGAGTGGATGGTTTGAGTTTGGACGGGTCCGATAGTTGTTGGCTCGGAGCGCGCTGTGGACACTTGGAAAAAAAAGCCATGTGGTTGAAAAAATGTGATCGTATCCATGTATGCTACGCGTGACGTGCTGTATGGGTCAGAAGAGGACTAAGGACGTCCTGTGTACATGTCCGTGTAGACGGTCGGACTAAGGTGACGTCGTTTGCTATATAACTTGAGACTCGGCGGGAAAAGCGACCATTGTAGGGACGGCCCGAACACTTAATTATCTTTGGGGGCATAAACGGCCAAGGCTAGCGTTGCGCGGCCCATAAGAAGAAAGCCAAGACACCGTCATCGGGCACTCCGTCCGTTCCTCCCAACTCCTCACCTTGTCGTGCACCTCTCCGATCTTTTCTCGGTTCCGTCCCAGCTCCGTCGTGATTTCCATCGCTTTTCGATCATACGAACGATGCGACACAAAGACGGGCCGCGAGCAAAAGTTATGGTTGTTTCGAGACACGGCAATATTTTCTTTCGAGACAGGTCCTGAGCGGTGCGGATGAAGGAAATTGTGGGCAGAGGTGCGGCAAAATCAGTTGGCGCGTGAAGTAAGGGCACCACGAACCAGTGGTAGCTTTCTCTCTCTCTCTCTCTCTCCCCCTCTCACCGGTGTCCTCAATCTCCATCATGGTTCTCTTGCTTTCCTCTAATCGCCGACTCTGCCCGTCCAAGCGGTCGGTTGTTTGCAGCAGACGATCCCGCTGCTCCTGCGAGGCGCCGCCCTGCGCGAACGCCTGCCGCGCCGCACGGAAAGAAACGCAAGCAATGCGCGAAAAAAGGGTGTGGAAAACACCTACAGTAGCACGTAACTTGGGCACGACGCAGGCAACGCGCCACAAGAACAGTGAGGAGCGCCGACAGCAGCTTAAGCCCACAACATAAGCCCGACACACAGCGTCATATCATGAACATTGCAGCATAGACGGGAGGCAATGCAGGGAGGCACCAAGAGACTTTGCCAGACCTTCTCTGGGCGGTGACTACTCGACAGCAGTATGACGTCACTGCCGCCGCCAAAATGGCCGTCACGCCCATTTCATCGGGCGAGGGCGCACGGGGTGACAAAGAGTGTCTTCGCTCTTTTGCTCCGCTCAGCTCCGCGCGCGATGCCTCGCCGTGCGAAAATCTCACCGCCTCTCTCCCTCCCAGAAGCCCCTCCCGCTCTTGCTTGTCGACAGCCCGCTGGTAGTCCCCTCGCAAAGACTGCAGCGTCTTCTTGTAGCTGGCGATCTTGCTGTTGGTCGTTGCGACAGAGTCGGTAGAGTAGCGGAGAGCAGCCCGGTGGCGAGGTGGTTCAGGGTTTAGATAGATGCCAGGGCGTTGCATTCAGAAGAGGGGCTTCCAAAGTAAACCGCGCGGACAATCGGTTGTTTCGAGAGGAACCTCGAGCAGCAAGGGTAATGATACACAGGTACTTGGTCGAAGCCAGGCTCCTCTATGATAGTCTACCGATTTGACTCCTGGACAGCAGTAACCAAGTTCCATATTCTGAAGCAGTATAAATAGCGCTTTGATTAGGTGCGCTTTTTGAGGTGGGGGTACTGGCGTGTGCTCCTTGTTGGGCTTGAGTTACATGTGATCACATGACAACAGTTTGTGCGTGCATGCTATCTTTCCCCCCCTGGTCCTCTCACCGTGCTCTGATCTTTCTCTCTGCCTCCCGCTCTGCGTGGGATTGCGAGTCTGTTTTTCTGTGAATAGAATCGACCGCGCTAACCTACTGAACAACGAATATACGCCATTTTCATAGGGGGATAAAATGCGCAAAAGAGGCTTTCTGTATTCAAATCCAAGTCCCGGGAAGAGCTGGGGCGTACTCTTGTTGTTTTGCATGCCTTAGCGGTAGACCATTGACCACGCGTCCTCAAGAGGATGGAGCATTGTTCCCACACGACCGATCACCGAT